GCGCGTGGCGTACACGCGCCAGACGCGCGCGCCTTCCCATGCACGCGCGCGCGCCCCCCAAGGCCACTTTGGAGCGCGCGCTCTCACCTAATTGGGCACAACTTTTGCTACTCTCCACCAAATTGCGCGTAGATTTCACCTCGCTTCACCAAATCGCGAGAGAATTTCAACGCGCTCCACCAAATTGCGCGAGTTCTTTAACGTACATACCAAATTGCGTTCGCTATCAAATGGAAAATAAATAAAAAATTTATTTCTCCACGCCATGCCAACGAATAAAGAAACACTACAACACCGATCTACTCTCAACACGATCCGGTACCCTTTTCGACGTGGCTCCCACATCGTCTCGAGAGTGGGGGGCTTGCGAGACAACTCCCAAGAGGAGCCAACTCGCTCAGTACTACCACCCGCAGCGAGATAACTCCCACGAGGAGCCAATTCCCTCGAGTCTACGAAACCATAGCGAGATAACAACCCGTTGCGAGGTAACTCCCACGAGGAGCCAACTCCCTCGGGTCTTATAACCATAGCGAGATAACTCCCACGAGGAGACCACTCGCCCGTCCCACAATTCGCAGCGAGACAACTCCCACGAGGAGCCAACTCGCTCGGTACTGCAACCCGCAACGAGACAACTCCCACAAGGAGACAACTCGCTCGGCCATACAACCCGTTTCGAGATAACTCCCACGGGGAGACAATTCGCTCAGAGCGACCTCAATCCGCTCGCTCCTCAGTCGCGCGCCATCCGATGCTCCTACAACTCCCTTGCGAGACAACTCCCACGAGGAGCCAACTCGCGCAGTTATACAACCCGCAGCGAGGCAACTCCCACGAGGAGCCAACTCGCTCGATACTACAAATCCGTTGCAAGGCAACTCCCACGTGCAACCACCTCACTCGATAAATATCACTCACCGCGAGACAACTCCCATGAGGAGACAACTCGCCCGAAATTCACTATATAATCACAAGCTCAAGTTAGCACGATTACAACTCTAGAAGCACTTAGAGACATTATGAGAATCTATATAGCCTGGCCAGCTTGATTACTCAAATTTATCTACTTGTTTTCGATGGGTCATTCATTAAAACGTGGCCACGGTCCAAACATACTTAAGACCCACGGGGTCTAACAAGGGGCACGACCCCCATAAAAAAAATCTTGAGAGTCTGATCCCCTCCTCAAGTACATCACGCACAAGGCTATATGTAAACACATATAAGCAACGCGTCAAAACATTGACAATGTCGAAAAATAACAACTCCCACGAGGAGAATACTAGCTCCGTGCTACTACATTATCGTGAGACAACATCCACGAGGACGTAACTCGATCAACTCGATTACCCTAGAGACAACTTCCACGAGGACGTAACTCGATCAACTCGATTACCCCATAGACAACTCCCACGAGGAGATTACTTGATCCGTGCTACTACATTATCGCGAGACAACTCCCACGAGGAGATAACTCGATCAACACTATTACCCCGCGACGAGACAACTCCCACGAGGAGATAATTCGCTACTACATCGTCGCGGGACAAAACCGACGACTCAATTAACTTACATCGCGACGACCTTGTCGCGCTATGCGCCAACGCACATTCACACCCCTCCGACACATGCTCCAACGCATTTTCGCATACCATTAGGCCATACGCCAACGATCGACTTCTACAATTTTTACTCTCGACACGATTTGAGAAGCCTCGACCCGAGCGGAAGTGCATGGCCCCCACATCGACTCGAGAGTGGGGGGCTTAATGATATGCCTAATTGGGCCAATCCAATGGGCCTACAATTTCTTTACCTACTGGGCTACGAGCCCAATATCGAAGACTAATATCACCGAGGCCCAAACACCTTCAAGTAAGGTTTGGGCCCAACAAAGCAAACACAACCCAATAAACGACATATAAATAGATGTTTTACTCATTTTATTAAGGTACGTCCTATTAACTGAGCAATACTATAATACGTATTCTCTGGACTATTTCTATGATCAGCACGTCTGACTTGAGCGTCGGAGGAGTTTCCGCCGGATCAACCCCCGGCTTAGTTCATGTGTTCTATGATCGCAGGTACCTCAGGATCATCAAGTTGTCAAGCTACTGATCTGCTTTGCTCTCCCAGCTCGTTTTTTACACCACCCCAGGTGAGCTAGTAATTAGCATCATCAATATCCATGTGATTCGAACTCGAGCTGCCAAACACCTGAAGATCATTCCAAACCACAAAGACAAGGCCAATATTTGTGAAATTACTTGCAAGAAATATATATAACCTTAAACAAACAGTATAAAATGATTATAATAAATAATGTTAAATAGATAGTTAATTATCATATTCATAATTTTTAAATAATTTTAATTAAATTATTAACAAATATAATATAATATAATAATTGAAAGGACTTGAGATTAATCCATTTAAATCATACGATTCGATTCTAATATTTGAATAAAATGTAAATGTAAAAAATGATTAAATCATATGATCTATAATTTAAGTCTTACGTGTTTTACAAATTAAACCAATTATTAAAAGAGAAATTACATCATAATATTTTGATTATACTAGTCATATATAATGTTATTTTGTAAAGTAAGAATATTAATTGAAATAAGATATAATTTATTTTGTTAAAATAAACATCATTTATATTTTTAAATAATCATCTTATGATAAAATACTCAATAATATTAATAAGTTCTTGTGAACAATTGAGGTTAATCGATTTAAATTAATTGAAATGAGTTATAATATATTTTTTTTAAATAAACATATTATTTTATTTTTCATTCGATTTTTTCACCTATAGATTGTAATAACATAAGTGAATTTGTAATAAGTCAACGCATTTGTTTATATATTGAATTGATTCAATGCTTTATATTTTTCACTAGTGGAGATTATATTGATATATCAATTAATAATAGATGTTTCATGAAGTATTGAACCGTGATTTTATATATATTTTTTAAAAGTTTCTTATATTGCATTTGTTAATTATTTAATTAAAATTATTTAATAATAATTAATATGATAAATTTTTCATAATTTCAAAAAAAAAAATCAAAATTCAATCTCTCTTTTAAATTAAATCGTAATTATTTATATTTTTCAAAATTAAATATATGCATTTGTTACTAGGGGAGATTTTTAATATTAATGATAATAAACATGACAATTAATAATTTATTAAACATTAGTTATAATTATTTTAGTATTCGTTATGGTTTTATATTTATAGTTAAGAGTAACATTACAGTAATTTACTTTGCTCGAGGTTAGTACTCACTACTCCACTCAGGCTACCCGGGTTCGAACCCCAAATGCACCATTTTTAATGTTTATAACATTAAAAATCCGGGTGGACCCAACGGGTCCACGGGTCGGGCCCTCGGGTCCCCCCGCTGTGTAGACCCGGCGGGTCTCGGGTCCGGAAAATCGGGACCCGAAACCGACCCGTACTGGTCCGGGTCCATGGTCAGCGGGCCGGGGCCGGGGCGGGGCAGCCTACGGGTCGGGTCCGGGTCAAACCCGGATGTACTAGTAGTAGCAGATCCAATTCCCTTAATTTTTTGGGTTCTCCGATCAACACCGTTTCCAATTGTCGATCTCTATCCTCTGCGGCGACGGTGGCGGCGCCTTGGTTGATGCTGCCACCAACCTATGAAGAGAGTGGTAACAGGTTTTTTAAGTATTTAGGAATGGGTGGTAAGGTGTCTCATAATTTCTACAACCTGGCAGATAACAAAGTTATGAGTGTGAGGAAAAGAAGCACTATCGCAATGAACATATTAAACCTACATTTAGAGAGATTGGCTGTTTTGGTTGGATCTTCACATGGTTGGCTAGCTTATTACAGGGCGCATTCAAACTTGGATCTGTTTCTGTACAATCCACTCTCTCATCGTCACGTAAAGCTCCCATCCGTCGAAACAATTCCTCTTGCCGAAGAGATTTTGAGAGACTGTTGGGGCAGACCACAAAAGGTCATCCTTTCATGCTCTCCGGATGAAGCCGACGACGACAACGACTGCCGTGCGATTTTGTGTTTTGGTCCAAGAGGTAACATGGCATTGTGCTGCCCCGGACAAAGTACTAAGTGGACTCCTTTCGGCTCTCACTTTCACGGAAACGAGAAACTCAACGAGTTTCATCGTGATGCTCGTATTGTACGGGCTTACGACGATTTCGTCTACTCCACCACGCAAAAGCAATTGTTCTGCATCACCCAATTCGCCGACATTGAAAGTTGGGATCTTGGTGACCCTACGTCTCCAGTCCACTGGAATTGGAAGATAGCCGGGGGACGACGTCATAGATGTTGCTACCGGTTGCAAGTACCTAGTATTCGCAGAGCATTCCAATCTGTTTCTTGTACGACGCCATATAATGAGACACATGTGCCCTGACGGTTCCCCTGTCGAGGTAGGTTACTACGAGAGGGGTGGTTTAGGGGATACAGTTCCTTACAAGGCTGTCGGTTTTGATGTTTATGAAATAGATAGAGAGAAAGGAGAGTTCATAAAGTACATGAATCGTACACTTGATGGTATGGCGTTCTTCATCGGTTCGACTGGACATGGTTTCGTGATTGAAGAAAAGGATGAAATGATCAAGCCCAATTCCATCTATTTCACCGACCCGGATAATCACACTCCGCCAAATTGGAATAAATATACAACGTGCGGTGGCCACGATCTAGGCATTTTTAATTACAAAAACAGGACTTTCTCCCCGCCCTACTATCCATGTGATATCCAGAAAGTCAAGAGAATTCAGCCAGCACCAATATGGTTTACTCCATCCCCATCCCCTGCTTCGAAATTTTAGCAACTTTTTTTTTTCGTCTTTTGGTTCTTTAGATTCATGCAGGTCTCGTTCCTTTTCTTTTTCGTTTTCGTTTTTTTCTCTTCTTTTATGTTCTAGACTCCTAACTTATTCCTACTTTGCTAAGAAGAAGAAGAAGAAGCAATTAGCAATTAGCAATTAGCAATATAGATCTCATAAACCATCACAATACGCAGTTCTTCAATTTGCAATTTGCTAACACAAAGCAATTAGCAATATAGACGTCAGAAATCATCACAAATTTGCAATTTGCTAACACAGGCAATTAGCAATATAGACGTCAGAAATCATCACAATACGACGTTCTTCAATTTGCTACAATTAAACCTAAAGCAGTGAATCAATTCCAATCTGTCAAACGTAAACAAATACCGAGAATACCGTATTTCGATCCCAGCAAAGACTTCTAGTGAGCATCAGCAAAGACTTCTAGTTACCATACTTCTGAAACTTCCACTCGCTGTTAGTTGCTGTAGAATTTAGTCGATGTTAGACATATAAACATTATTAAATGATATCAAGAAAAAGACCCTGTAATGATAAGCCGAAACTTTGATCCATGTTTGACTCATAAAAAAGCAATTCAACCCGCACAAATTTGTTAACAGCACAGTGGAATTAAGATGCCAATAATCACCATTAACACTAACTTTGTAGATCATAAATAGTTCAATCAACCAATGAGTTCGCTGTGTTGGTTCCCCCGTTAAAAACGCCTAATATTCCTTCTCACCATCATCTCCGTCGTCAAACTCGTTTTTTTTTTAAATCAAGAAATAGAAAAAAAAACTCCACATGTAAAACACAAATTCGTTAACAGCAATACACAGTGGAAGTAAGATGCCAATAATACCTATTAACACAACCATTAACACTAACTTTATAGATCATAAACAATTCAATCAACCAATGAGTTCGTTGTGTTGGTTCCCCTGTTAAAAACCCCTAATATTCCTCATTCTCATCATCTTCTCCGTTGTCAAACGCGTTTTTTTCAAATCAAGAAAAAGAAAAAATAACTCCACATATAAAACACAAATTCGTTAATAGTAATACACAGTGGAAGTAAGATGCCAATAATACCTATTAACACAACCATTAACACTAACTTTATAGATCATAAACAGTTCAATCAAACAATGAGTTCGCTGTGTTGGTTCCCCTGTTAAAAACCCCTAATATTCCTCATTCTCATCATCATCTCCGTCGTCAAACGCGTTTTTTTTTAAATCAAGAAAAAGAAAAAATAACTCCACATATAAAGACACAAAATCGTTAACAGCAATACACAATGAAAGTAAGATGCCAATAATACCTATTAACACAAACAACATAGATCTAAGCAGTTCAAAACACCATAAACCTGTTCAACAGACAATAAACCAAGAAAAAACCCTAAGATTTCTCATGCTCATCATCATCGGTTCCCCCATTAAAAACCCCTAATATTCTTCATGCTATTTATTTATTAATACAAAATAATCGAACAATTTTTATTTTTACTTACCCGAAATTTTTTGACATCCATTCTGATAAAGATGCAAGGACTTCTGGCGGCTGTTGGGATAAAAGTTCGCCGGCTTTTGATACCAAATCTGCAATCCATTCAGCCTTGTTGTGCTTCTCCTGGAAGTGCTGGCGCATATCCTTGTTCGATAGGAAAGGTATGTTACAGACGGGGCATCGAGGAGATTCATGATCTCGTAAACAGGCCGGACAAATATGATCGGGCGGGACATCGTCTACAACTTGACATGCTTCAAACTCTTCTCTAGCTTCAACTGATTCAGATTCATCTTCAGTTACAGAGTCTCCAGATACCTCAGATTCAGATTCATCTCCAGAATACTCTTCTTCTCCAGCAACGCAGATGGCTGCCGACGAGAGAAAAAAAATGATTTAAAATTCAGATCTATATATATATATATATATATATATATATAGCAGATAGTTATGAACTTGATACATTACGGGGAAAAAACACAGAAAAAAGAGTAAAATAAAAACGAGACGCTCATGATTTAATTCACAGCTGCTCCTGCGCAAGTCAGCATGAGCCAACACATACATAACATGGAATAAGAAAATAGAGCCACATATATAACGAATAAAACAAAGACTAGTGCCGGAAGCTTAGTGCCAGTCCCAGATCTTCGAATATAACAGATTAACGCAAAATAAAATAGTTAACGATCATTAGAGTCCTAATAATTGTTTGCATAACTAACAGACAGTCACCAACCCTCATTAGGAGAGTTGGTACCTAGCCTTTACCAATAGGGTAATGGTCTAGGGTTCGAGTCCCCCCCTCCCCTACTTCCCCTTGTAATGGACTTGAATTTACTCAAAAAAAAAAAAAAAAAAACTAACAGACAGTCTAAGCCGCTTAAGATCCCAACTATAAGATGTCTTTCACATCTACTATAAGATGTCTTCCACTTCCACCACTACTCCCATAGCCGCCCCCATACCATGAATAACTATCATCGTCGGGCCCACCATATACATTCACCCCCCTAAATCACCGGGGGATCGGCGTAAGTCGCAAACCCAAAACCGCGATACTTTCTTGTCCTTCATTATCACTGCAGGGTCTGTAATTAATCTCTCCATATTTACCAAAATGCTCAATAAATTGTGCTGACATAATAATAAATACTTGCGAAATATTAGGACTGATGTTGTCATATCGTTTCAAGATTCTGTAAGACATTTATACGTACAGCTGAATAAGAAAGACAACGTTTGCATGCAGGTATACGAGGAACTAAGCACAAGATACTTGATGAATCTTTTAAGCAATTTTTATTTTATTTTATTTTTCTACAGTGCCACTCATTTAGGCTGACTGAGCTTTTTGAACTTAAGCTCCAACTTCTGGTGATCCTGTAATTTTTTCATTCAACTCCCATCCTACATAACTTTAATCGCAGTTCACTAATTACTGGATTATATTAATCAGTTCGTAGCTACAATAACTGTCTATTGACCTTATTTGAACTGCAAAACTTTAAGCCAACATTAAAATTAAAAAAATATCGCCCACCGTGGGGCTCGAACCCACGACCACAAGGTTAAGAGCCTTGCGCTCTACCAACTGAGCTAGACGGGCTGTTTGTTTCATTCCTGATGTTAACGAATTTTGTCCCTAATCATTTCACACAGTCTCCGTAGAAGTGTACTCGTTTAGCCCAATAAGTAATCACACAGTCGAATAATAGTTGGCCCAGCCCACCTAGGTCAGATTAATCATTAATGCTCGAATGCTTAAAACGTCACCGTATCGCATTGTCCGTGGCTCAAAATCAATCACATTTCACTCACAGCTTATGTATGGCATTCGGATTGCCCTCACATATCCAGCACCACCATTACCTACAAACTCTGAAACCTGAAAATATCCACCATATTCAATCACAAAGATCAATTATTCAATTACCCTTCTCTTTGCAAAGGTATGATTTCATCATCCATTGTTATTCTAAGATGAAACGTATATGTCGGAATACTCAATCTTGAACTGCTTTTGCTTCCATCTTTAAATTATCCGGTGCACAATATGCAAGCTCCGACCATTTCAAGTGAATCTCTGCACTCTTGTGTAATACCCCACTTGGATTTAGGATTACATTCTTTTAAATGGGTAAAGAGAAAGAAAAGATTTAATCTTTTTCATAATTCCTGCCATGGTCTCTTGTTGAGATGTAGGTTTTCATCATGCCCTAGTGGCACCATTAATCTCGTTCCTAAGACAAAGAAACCTTCCCTAGGTGCTGCTTTTGCTCTTACATGGGCATTAGATGAACCCACAACCGGCAATGATGATTCTCCTATTCAAGAATCAGACCAATTAAATGACAACGATGGTGCAAATAATAAAGATGGTGGTGATGTGCAGAAACGAGGAATTTATCGGAGGCAAAAACTTCAAAACGGACGAATTGATGTTCGTGCACTAGCATTAAGATTGCATTCTGCCACAAATGCAGACGATGTGGAAACTATTCTCAAGGATATGGGAAATCTTCCTCTCCAGGTGTATTCCACCATTATTCGAGGTTTCGGCAAAGACAAGAAGGTTGACTCAGCGATGGCTCTCTTCGAGTGGCTCAAGAGAAAGAGCAACGAGGCCGATAGTCCGATTCAGCCCAATCTTTATATATACAACAGTCTTTTGGGAGCGCTGAAGCAAGCTGAAAGCTTTGATTTTGTTGATGATGTCATGAGTGACATGGCTGCAAAAGGGTTGCTTCCTAATGTCGTGACGTATAATACCTTGATGGGTATTTACATCGAGCACCGAAAAGAAGCCAAAGTTTTCGAACTCTTTGAAGAGATGCCGACCAAAGGTATATTTCCATCTCCGGCATCTTATTCGATTGTCTTGCTCGCTTATCGTAGACTCGAGGATGGATTTGGAGCTCTGACATTCTTTGTTGAGATAAGGGATAAATTTCAAAAGGGTGAAATTGGAAAAGATAATGACGGTGAAGAAGAAGAAGACTGGGTAGACGAGTTTGCGAAGCTAGAAAACTTCACTATTCGTATTTGCTACCAAGTGATGCGTCGTTGGCTTGTTAATAGCAAGAATTTAAGCACGGAAGTATTAAGACTTTTGAAAGAGATGGATAAGGCTGGATTACAGCCAGGTCACGAAGAACACGAGCGCCTAATATGGGCATGCACACGAGAAGAACATTACATTGTGGTTAAGGAATTGTACGCTAGGATAAGAGAAATGACAAGCACTGAAATAAGCTTATCAGTTTGCAATCACGTCATTTGGCTAATGGGAAAGGCAAAGAAATGGTGGGCAGCTTTGGAAATATACGAGGATTTATTGGATAAAGGGCCGAAACCAAATAACATGTCGTACGAATTGATCGTTTCACATTTCAGTATACTCTTGACCGCAGCTCGAAAAAAGGGTATTTGGAAATGGGGTGTAAGGCTGCTCAACAAAATGGAAGAGAAAGGCCTTAAACCAGGAAGTAGAGAGTGGAATGCCGTTCTTGTTGCTTGTTCAAAAGCTTCGGAAACTTCCGCAGCTATCGAGATATTCAAGAGAATGGTTGACCAAGGCGAAAAGCCCACAATCATTTCATATGGTGCATTGCTTAGTGCTCTCGAGAAAGGGAAACTGTACGATGAAGCCCTTCAAGTGTGGAAACACATGTTGAAAATGGGGCTGGAGCCTAATTTATACGCATACACAATCATGGCCTCGATTTACGCAGGTCAACAAAAATTCGATATCGTGGACTCGATTATCCAAGAAATGGTGACGGTCAATATCGAGCCGACAGTTGTTACATTCAACGCAATAATCAGCAGCTGCGGTCGGAGTAATCTTGGGAGTGTGGCGTACGAATATTTCCAGAGAATGAGAGTTTTGAATATTGCGCCGAACGAGGTTACTTATGATGTGTTGATTGAGGCTCTTGCTAGTGACGGTAAACCGAGGCTCGCTTATGAGCTGCACTTGAGGGCTAATAACGAGGGACTTGTGCTTTCGACTAAGGCTTATGATGCTGTTGTTGAATCTTCAGAAAGTTACGGTGCCACGATTGATGTCAGTGCTTTAGGGCCTCGGCCACCTGAGAGAAAGAAGAAAGTGCAGACGAGGAAAAAGTTGTCGGAGTTCTGTGATTTAGCTGATGTTCCTAGGAGAAGTAAACCATTCGACAGAAGTGAAATCTACAAGTCACAGAGTGAAGAAGATCCTAGGTAAATCTGTGTCCTTTTTTCATGAGATATGGTTTGACTATATGTAATTACTTTGCTGCTTAGATTAAGGCAAACATGTCTTTTGATTCAAGATTGTCCACTAGAAAATTGTTGGATGTGTAATTTGTATTGATTATCAAGAAAGTGAATTACCAGGCATGGATTTTGAAGCACAAAATATGAGGCTGATTATTGCATTTGCATTTCAGAACTAAAAAAGTGAGCAAATGAACACGAAAATAAACGTGTTAATGAGAAATTTCAACTCGTTCATTACAACACAAACGCACTTGTCCGACAAAAGAAATAGAATCATAGTTCTAACACGAGAGATGTATCAGTCTTACATATAATTAATCGTCTCACACAAACTCTTGAACGAAAACAGGAAAGATGAATCATGAGTACATAAATTGAATGGAAGAGGCATACGAATACTTCTATTCGATTTTCTTGGAGTCCTTGAGCTGTCCTCTCTTTCTAATAGCTAAGCAGAACTTGAGACGCCAAGCATCAATGGCCGACTCAGGCAAAGAATTAGCCAAAGCCCACAAAATAGAATGTGGCCAGTACGGAGTGCAACGTGGTTCATACCCAATCCAACGCAGTGCTGCACGAGCGTAACCGTCTGTTGACGGAACAAAGAAAGACGACCTTTTGATTGATGCCATTTTCGTAGCAACGTACAAAGGTACCTACACAAATATTGATCAATTAAACATATCACCTCTTATTCCATATTTTTCCAATTGCAGCAAAATGGTTCAAATTCAAACAAATTTGTTATGAATGCAGAATATTTACCTGACATTGCACATCAATCCCACTATTCTTGTACTCCACATACAGGCATCTTGAGAACTGATCAACATACCTGAAACGATTTCAATCAAAATAAACCCATCATCCTATAAATTAAACCTATTTTTTTTTTTTTAATGACAATTCAAATACCAAATAAAATAAAAATGAAATCTTGATAAAAAAAAAAAGTACTCACGCTTTGGTAGCAGCATAAACAGAGTAAAGTGGATCAGAAGGAATAACAATAGCAGCACCAGAACCAATATTAACAATAGCCCCCTTTTTCCTTTTCACCATGGCCGGCAAAACAGCCTGAGTGACTTTTGTGGTACCCTCGATATTAACCTTAATCAGATCAGACAACAGCTTTTCGTCCACTTCATGGAAGAATCTCGCATAAGGATACGACACGCCGACGTTATTAATCAAAAGCCCAACATCCAGACCTTCAATTGCTTCCTTAATCCTCGAAACGCCGTCGTCTAGGTCACCGGAGAAGTCCACCACCACATTTTTGATCTGGGTCGACCCGGATTTGGACTTGATTGATTCAGAGACCTCCTTCAGTTTGTCCGGGTTTCTTCCAACTAGGACTAAGTTGAGGCCTTTCCTTGCCAGCTGAAAAGCGAAGGCTTTTCCGATGCCGTCGGTGGGGCCGGTGATTAAAGCCCATGACCCGTATTTCTTGAGATTCTTTCCGGGTCGGATGAAATTGACGTAGACCCAAATAATGATCGAAAATGAGAGTTTGAGGAGGGATATGGAGCCGAGTGAGAGGAGGATGAGAATCCATGTGGGCTGAGATTTGAGCTGGTGGTAGATGCACTCCGCCATGTTTTGATGAATCTAAGATGTGCAAACGGGGTTTTTATATTATACACTTCCGAGTGGTGAAAACGTCGTCGTATTTTATTTTTATAGCTCTGTAAAATATTAATTTTTTGATACACAACCAAAACAAATGAGAATTGTTTTTTAATTTTTGTAAGTTGATTTATTGCGCACACATTCATTTATGAAGTTAATCTAGATTTATAGCATGTGGAAACAATAAAGTGGGCAATAATATTAGATGGTGAGAAGAAAACAGTTGGACAACATTTATTACTATGAAGGTTAGTTTGGAATTTTTTTTTCCGACGATACACCCGATGAAATGTAGCAGGTGATTATGAACCGTTGATCCACACGTAATCACACACATATACATGTTTATGTCAATATATGTGATTAGATGAAAGTTCACGAGGTGTAGCATTTCAGTAACGAAATTTTCTCACGAAAAAAAGGTGGTTGAAGAACATAGCCTGAAATTAGGCAACCGCTCTTTAAATTAGGTGATCCATAAATCGTGATTTCAGATTAATTTATCTTTTATTTATGAATACTTTTTATAACTAATCTCTAATTCTTGACTTCTGTAACTCTACTGGAAAAACAGTTTTGGACAATGCATGCATATTATCATGCATGCAATTTTTTATTTTTATTTTTATTTTTTTATTTGAGATATATTATGCTTTTATCTTTAATTTAATTTTGATAATGGGTAAATTACAAACACCCCCTGAGGTATGGTTGAATTACAAAAACACCCCTCTTGTTTGGATAATTACAACCACCCCCTCAACTCCTCAAATTTAGTAGAATCTTCGAGATTATATGGAATATTATCACTTTTGTAACCGTTTTATCCTATTCAAACTCTACATTATGAAGCAAGATGATCATAATATGTGATTTTTAGCTTGTATATATCTGTTTGTGGTGCATCGGAAACTGTATTTTTTACACAAAACGAGTACAAACTAGAGCACATTTCACGGAATCTAGATGAATATGTTGAATTTGGCACCATAAAGGTGGAGGTCTAAGAAAAATCATAGTTGTGGGGTAGATGTAATTATCCAAACAAGAGGGGGATTTTGTAATTTGACCATACCTCAGGGGTGTTTGTAATTTACCCTTTTGATAATAGACAAAATCATTATTATATTATAGATACAATGGGCCCGGCCCAAAATAGTAGGTGTACAGTCTTATCAGCTCTAAATAGCAGATCCAGTCTTATAAGTACCAATGGGTATTTAGATACAAACAAGCCCATAATATCAGCTCCAAATAAACACTGATTCCTGTCAAAGATAAAGAAACGACTCTAGTTGAAATTGGAGAAAACTTGATGGAAAGTACAGGAGAAGATACGGCGTATCTCTTGGGCCCCACAGATATGAACAGCGTAAACTGCAAAAAGGAGTAAAGCCGTAAAGGACTCCAGCAGGGACAGAACTGTAGAGCAGCAGTGGAAATCGTATACACACCGAGCTTTGTTCTCTAGGGTTTCGCCTCCAGAGATGCCAACCATGGGAACACACGAGGATGACAGCCGTACGTCGCCGCCGTTACCGGACCCACCGTCGGAGGACCAAAAGCTAGAGTTTCCGACCGCTGATCCGAGCAAGGATGATTTGATTGGAAGGATGGAAAATTTAGTGCTGAAATCCGATGCAGATCACGACGGCATTGGTAATGCTGATGGAAACAAGGACGGCGGCGCACTCGGAAGCACTGGATTTCTGCCGCTGCGGCCGTACGCCGGAGACTGCCCTCACTTCGTCCGAACTGGCACTTGTAAATTTGGACCGAGCTGTAGGTATAATCACCCAATCAAGAAGTTGCACCAGGTAGTTTACGAGTTTGCACTTTCCTTTGGCATTTCTTAAAACTCTAGTGTTGTTATTAAAATGTTTATTTACTTTTGTGTGTGTTTTATTGAAGCTTTCTGATGGAGGCTTTGAGTCTGGCATTTCTGGCGTGATTGAGTGCAAGGTAAATGATTTTTAACCTTTTATTTTGGCTGAAAAATTCAAGTTGAACACACCACACGGTTCTTTCTTACTTAGGTTTAGTGTTTTTACTGGTATGTACTTCTTTGCCTTAGTTTTGCTAAGGATTGGTTTGTGATATTTGATTCCTTAGTATGAAAGCTACTCTGTATGTATAACTTTAGTACTGAAATGCTACATATTATATGTCAATATGCAAAATGAGTTTGTCCTTTAGAATAATGGACAGGGTATTGTTCTTGTTGAAATATTAAATTGATGTCAATGCTTCGTCATTCTGCAACGTAATTACTACTAAAAAGTTATACTTAGTGATTACTGGGTCCGATGTTGCTGAACCCTATCTTTTCTTCCCATGTATTATCTCGCTCCATTGCAAATGAATATGCTTCGTTTTTTTTTGTCTTTGCAGTACTTCTCTACTGCAGAAGGGTGCAGGTATGGAAAATCTTGTAGGTATGTCCATCCTGGTGAAGAATCTGACGTTACACCTCAGCTGAACCAATTGGGTTTGCCAACACGTCTGGTAATGCCAAAAACTATATAATCTGTAATTGTTAGTTCGCCAAGGTTTCATGCTCTCATTCGTTCTGCTTACTTTGCTAAAAGTATTTGGATGTATGTTTTGATCTTGATTAGGGAGCGAAGGAGTGTCTATTCTACATACGCAATGGTTCATGTAGATATGGATCTCGTTGTGTATATAATCACCCTGAACCTGCTTCTGTAGAAGGCTATATACATCAAAATCCAATGGATGGAAAATTTGTTAAACAAGTAGGTGATCTTTCAGAAAATCGCAATGTTGGTTATATGCATCTATCAGGGGCATCAGAAGCATATCAAGCACCCAGGTCTTTGAACAAGTTATCTGGCAATATTGACGCGTATTTGGGTAACCTCATATCTCCTCAGTGGGTGGATAAACAACCAAAATGGAATGGCTATCAGGTACTTACAAGTTTTGTTTGAATCAGATCTCTCATTTCATTTTAAATTCCCTGCCGTTAATACTATTGAATCATTTTATGTATGCAATGTATTCTTCAGAAAAATCAATTGACATGACACAGTGCCAGTATTAACACATCTGATGCATTAATCTTGATTTACTCAGGCCTCAAGCTATTTGCCTCGAACTGGGAATTCTTACTCAGCCCCAATCACCGATGGTTCTCTTAGGAAGGTAGATATCTCTGTGGATATTGATGAGTTCCCTGAACGACCAGGTCAGCCTGAATGTGATTTCTTCATGAAAACGGGAGATTGCAAGTTCAAACTCACATGTCGGTTTCACCACCCCAAAAACAGGGCATGTAGGCCAGGTGAATGCGTTCTTAATGAGAATGGTCTGCCACTGAGACCTGTAAGCTAACATTTTTTCTTCTGTTGCATCTAGAATTTCTTTCACAACTATTGCTCTCTCTTTCTTTCATAGCTAAGTTAACCATATTGCAATTAAAACATCTGAAATTGCTTCTGTTTTTTTTGTCTATTTCACTAATCTATTTGTATTATTTTCCTCATTCTGCTATTATTGTTGTGCAGGGTAGAAGTGTTTGTCGGCATTATGAGCGCCATGGTCTTTGCAAGTTTGGTCGTGCATGCATGTTTGACCACCCAGCAAGCCATAGTTTGTCAACATATCCTGTCTGGAGTTCTGTAAAGACTGATTCTGGTGGCGGCAATTGTGGCGGCTGGGCTGATTAGTTGCACATTGCCAGGTTGTCATTTTGTTTTGTCTATCTAGGAAGCATTTTGGATAGCTAGAATTCTAGTTTATTAATTATATAAGCTCATTGGTGACCTAGATTCTGTCAAAAATACTCAAATTAATAGGGCTTCTTTTTGTCGATGCTTTTGTCTATTGTGAGGAAATCATCAAATTGCAACTGCTAGGGTGATGTTTAGTAAGAGAAACCTAAACGTGCATCGAGAAACAGAGAGGGATAACTTAAATCATTGTCTTGATGTGATTATTCTATTTTACCGTTTCATAGTTTCTTGTATGTGGTCTAAATCATCATCCTAAAAGTAGTTGTTGAAAATAGTAGGCAGTGCAATTTAAAATGCTTTTGGCAATTTCCCCAACAATACACTTGTAGGGTAGAAATATAGAAATCTCTTTGTACTTGTTTCACACATACATTTACAAAAGCGAGGAGAAATTTCAAATTGTCTGTAATCTGAATCCGCCCGCTTTGAACTCTACATCTCTTCACACCATCTTTCCGATTTCACTGCTCCCACCAACTTTTAGAAACAGCAAAGCCACTTTTTCTGCATCAGTGTAAAAGGCAGAGCCGTTAACAAAATACCGAAAAGAAAGAAGGAAAAAAATTGTACTGAAAAAGTAAGTTTAGTTGAATTGGTTGAGAGTTAGCTAACCTTGTTCGGGAACTCATTAGATTGGTTTTGCTGAGGCTCGTTTTCACTAGTTGGCGGTGGTGCAGCATTTGCTGCAGTGCCTTTAGCTTTCTTTTCATCTCTGGCCTTAGCAAAGATGACTGTAAATCCATCAGCTGAGGCTGGATTATTGACGTCCCACTCACCAAATTTCGGCAGTGGCCGACCTTTCTCGTGCTGCATACAACAATTTATCTTAAATCCTTAAAAAGAAAAAATTCAATGGCGAACTTATTGTTGAAATAAAACAAAATCTTATATCTACCTATGTATTTGCTTTAGTTTTAACATTTTTCTGGATTAGTCTATATATCAAATAATTCTTGCTAATTATGTTTGTATAAAAGTCGAACGAAGTATACCATTTCGTTCCATGTTTAGTGAGAAAAATGTAGAATGGTGAACAGGTTGAAAGATAAAGAGTATGATTGAAGTGAAAAATAAGATTCTTCCTCCCCCAGGGGGCTTTGGGTATTACAAAATTCGACTAATCTTCTGAAAATTTCAGAAACACAATAACCCTCGTTCGGTTTGATTGTGCATACAAATTGAACTTGCGGCAAGCAAAGCTTAAATCTTAGCTATTGCCTATATAAATGAAAACTGTGCGTACTAGAATAATTCATGATGGAACTCGGATATTCATGATGGTTACGACCTCTGTTTCATCTGGAATGCCTAATCAAAATCTCGAAAAAAAAAATATAATATATAATAATAAATGGGAGAAAGGGTCCAAATTAGAAGGGAAATTATTCTCATTTTGAGTCGTTGGCATTATTGCATTGTTGTTTCAATTTGATTTTGTTATTGTCAACAAATATATGCAACGGATATCTCATCAGACAATTATATATTATCCTTTGAGAGGGTTTGGAGGGGATAAACCAAAATGGCATATTTTAATCTGTTTCAACGAAAAGTTTTTGAATCATAATCAAACGACAATTAGCAAAAAGAATTAAGATAACTGTAAAAATAAATCGGAAATGGAAATGAGAATTTAGGATGCAAAATGAAAAAAGAAGAAGAAAAAACTTACAGACGTCATGAAAGATCGCAGGTTTTGGCCTCAGATGAAAGAGACGACAAATGAATATCTTTTAGAGAGAGAGAGAGAGAGAGACAGAGAATTCAGAACGGGTCTTTAGGAGGGAGAGAGAAGCGCAACGAGCTAATTAATTTTTTTATTTTTTTTGTATAATTAATAAAGCTATTAATAGAGAACAAGAAGGTTTATCTATTGAGATTAATTAATGTCAACTGTTAATGTTAATAAAAGGAAGTTTTTTTTTTTTGATAAGAAATATAAAAGGAAGTTTGCTCCAACACAATGCACATTTGAAATTATAATATATACTATGGGTTCGACAATTATATTTGATACCTATTTTCGTAATTTACAAATAGCACCAATAATAATTAATTAATTAATTCAAACTCCATTTCATTTTCCTATTATATTATCATCACTGTTCTTCTTTCGTCACCTTCTTCACCATCAATGGCGACTGCGTTACTCCGGCGAGCGATATCCAGAGTGCCGGCATTGTCGCCGGCGATCTTCTCCCGTGCCCACGCGTCGGCGGCAGAAGCCCAACAAGTCGAGCCCAAGGCTAAATCCACCACCACCCCCAAAACCTTCCAAATCTACCGATGGAACCCTAACTCTCCCCAGAAGCCCGAGCTCCAGAATTACGAAATCGATCTAAAGGAGTGCGGCCCCATGATTCTCGACGCCCTAATCAAGATTAAAAACGAGATGGATCCAACCCTAACCTTCCGCCGCTCCTGCCGTGAAGGAATCTGCGGTTCGTGCGCTATGAACATCGACGGCCGTAACGGATTGGCCTGTCTGACGAAGATATCATCGGGTGGGCCCACGATGGTCACCCCTCTGCCGCACATGTTCGTGATAAAGGATTTGGTGGTGGATATGACGAATTTTTATAATCAGTACAAGTCGATTGAGCCGTGGCTGAAGAGGAAGAGCGAGCCTTCGTCTCCGGGGAAGGAGATTCTGCAGAGCAAGGAGGATAGGAAGAAGCTTGATGGTATGTATGAATGTATCCTCTGTGCCTGCTGTAGCACATCCTGCCCTAGCTACTGGTGGAATCCGAAGTCTTATTTGGGCCCTGCAGCTCTATTGCATGCCAATAGGTAATTCCTTTTTTTTCCGATTCTTCCTCTTTTTTTCGCAATGTTTAGGGTAAATTTTGTTTGTTATTGTGAGATAAGAACTGCAGTTGAAGTTGAGATATTTGTGTAGAATGTGGATATCGACCGTCATATTTGGTTTCTTTGAAATGGAAGCGATGAACTGACGTGGATTATTTGTCGGCCTAATTGCTTTGTTTGATGATTGTAAGAGCATTCTGAAAAGGGATTTTGCCCAAGTGTTATTATCGGCTTGTTGTTATTGTGCAGAAAATGGATCATTGTTTTGGTATATTTTTTCTTCATTTTCTTGATTGTGGTTTCCAATGTGAATGCAGATGGATAATGGACAGTCGTGATGAATATACCAAGGAGCGCCTTGATGCCGTAAATGACGAGTTCAAGCTGTACCGGTGCCACACCATTCTGAATTGTGCTAAAGCTTGCCCTAAGGGACTGAATCCAGGAATGCAGATTCAGAACATCAAGAAACTTGAGCTTACAAGTTAAAATTCCTCAAAATACACACGGACAAATGAATCCTGTGTGGGAATAATACCGTAATGTTTGCAAATTGGATCAATTTTCTACCTTAGTAAGTGATTGATTAGCACAGGGCGTGGAAAACGGCTCGCGAAGTAGAAGTAGAGGATTTAACAGTCATGAGATTAATCTTTCCCTTGTCATGCTTTTCACATGCTTGGATACTGTAACTTGCGAGGGAGCACGCTTTTTCGTGTTTTATACTTTACTTTGGATATTACGAGAGAGCAAAATGTTGCTGCATTTCACAAGGCTTATTAGATCCTCAGAGGAGTGTGTGTGTGTGCATACTTTCTGCATGCCTTACTCGAAACATTAGTGTGTACATTACTTAAAACATTAGTGTGTTTGGTATGACCTTGTTCTTATTCAATTTGATACTTCAAATGTCAATTCTTATTACCGACACGGTTTACATATGACCTCACACCATTTCTCGTATATATCAAATATGAATCATGTTCATATACATCCTACCGACATCTGTGGAACAATTTGGTGAGTGAAAGATCCTATACAACGCAAGTGCAAAATCAAGAATTTCTTCGCCAACCTGTTAGCTAATCAACAAACCCTTTGGGAACCCATTAAAACATGTTTCCTCCAAAAACAAAGTCAGCTCTGATGATGCTTGTTGTCTTAAACCAGCTTCTATCTAACGTTTTAGGGGCAAACACTCGAATTCCCCTTCTCGTAAATCCTAGGACTCTCCAAGAATCTCAGTACGTTACTGTAACAGGTGTTGTGCTGCTAAATTTAACTCTCATTTCTCGTGCCCTTATTCTATGTATTTTACAGCTATGCAATCTTAACATGCCTACCGGCAAAATGGTGGATCGTTGCAGGTTGTAATAATGACTGTGATATAGCTTGCTGTTATTGTGATATCACTAAGCAGCCGCCATTTTGCGTCCAGTGCTGCAAAGGGGACCCCTGAGACGCAGTTAATACTATATTTATTGTTTATGCTTTCTTGTGCGGAATTATTACATTCTTTCAATTTCAGTTATTTTCAGTTATTGATGGTGACTTTCAAAGATTGAAGAAAATGAAAAAAATGCAGATGAGACAAGGGACATGTTCATAAAGAGCTTAATTTTAATTTTTGCCAGATAGTAGTCGGACAAAAGTCTTACAGCACAAACATATAAAAGATGAGTGCAATGCAACAATCGAACATAGGAAAATCGCAAAAATCAGGATTCGTCTGCAAATGCTCGACCTTCTAATATATATTTTTTTTTATTAAATTTATGCTATTGTACATGTGAACATGAAACTATACCAACTACTAGGTTGGTTTTATAATAATAACCATTCAAAGTTCTTGCAAGACCCACCATTGCATAACGAAGAAGGGAAAAGTCCACACTCGGGCAATTAATTACCTGATTAAAGATGAGAAGCAGAAACCAATCACTTCCTCGTAAGTTGAAGAAAAACTGCAGCAGATGAGATTTGAACTCTAAGATCAGCAATATCAATATCGTGACCACCTTCGACCAAACCCCACCGATCAACCTGTAAATCTTCCTCTAGCCTAATCAATTCAATGGCCTGCTCAATATTCAAGATACCACGGAATATTCCAATAGCAATTAGCAAAGAGTGAGCAGATGAAGCAATAGCATCAATTGTAGCAAGTTCACAGTCATCTGTCTTCTTCAGAAGGTTCTCAACGGCCTTCACCAAGCCCTCGTCCTGCTTCCCACCAAAGAAGCTCGTGTACACCGCTGGCTTAAACCCAAATTCCGATTCCACCCATTTGATTAAAGGACTAAATTTCTCCACTTGCAGCTCTGCAAATTATTACACATACATCTTTAGAATCAGTATAACCTTCCATTTAACAAATCAACGTGAAAGTAATTTAGAAGGCGATTAGACGAGTTTTTATTAGCCGATGGGTCTGCAAACAATCTGAATGAATAACAAGTGCGTTCGTTCTTAGCAGCCTGCAAACACATTTATACTCACCAATCCTCCCAATAAGCAATTAAGATGTTTTACTTAAACCGATCTGAAAAGTAGCATAGAAGAAATACGAGAGATAAACGTACCTCTGAGATCCTTTGTTAAATCATTGTCTCTAGGAGCACGGCAAAATACAAGATCTTGATGGAATTTGTTCATCAAATGATCAATTATCTTTGGCCGAGTGACAGGTACTCTTTCTAAGGCGGTACATGCATGCTTCATCAGAGGCATCGTAAAGGGTCTAATTCCATCTGTTTCCTACAAATACAATAGCAACAATTTAATCACATAATCCCCTTTACAAGTCATACATCCAGTTCACTTTTGCAAGATGAGACTTAAGACTGAAATTCATCATAACATTAGCCTTATCACGAGAAACACATATAAAAAGAAAAACGGTAAAGAAATCAGCTTTCCAAGAGAAACATACATAAATAGGGTTCGCAGGAACGACCCTCTCCGTTCTGGATTCCGTAACAAAACCGACAAAACCGTTCCGGGACATGAAATTGTAATTTTATGATATCAAAATTGTTAAAAATCAATTTAGCGAGTAAGCTGGAAAATTTTGGGAATCTGAAACAGTTGATTTGAGCTTCTACAAATGTGATCTAGTTTTTAACTCGTCAGGGTAACTACAATTAGTACCACAAAATCAAAGATAAATCAAACCTAGTTAACCAATTAAGAAATTAAAAATTAAAAAAAAAAAACGCAGTGTAGCACGCACCTGATACTCCCACTCAGCAGCAATGGCTTTAGCAAGAGCTAAAGTAGGGCACTTAAGATTCCGCTTCGAAGGAGTTTTGAGAGTCCTGTAATCAAGCATTACGCTCCACCCATTCCCATCCTCGGCTTCTCTCGTTGTCACGTTCTTGTAGAATCGCCTCCCGACGATCGAACCGGTCATGAAAGACATCGGCATAGTCACGGACGAGGATGAAGACGACGTCGTTTTTGGACCTTTGATGTATACGCTGTCATCTCTATTCGAAGTTGCGGCGGGTTTCAGATCGTCGGAGGAAAAGGTGAACGACGACGGCTCTTGTTCCGCATTTCCAGATGCCGCCGCGACGCTGAGGTGGCGGCTGCTAGAGGTAAGACTTCTGAAGGCGGATGGAACCACGGTTTTAAGGGCTTTTCTCACCATCGGTGACGCCATTTTCGCGGTCGCTGTGTGTATGTGTGTGTGAGAGAGAGAGGGAGAGGGTGAGTGAGAGAGAAGACGGTGATTTTGGGCTTTCAAAGGCCCGAGCCCGACCCAAATTTAATTGGACAATAAATTTTATTGGATATCGAATACGGGCCAGGCCCACTACACCATATTGTTCACAACTAGTTACTAAATCTTAAAAAAAAAAAAAAAAATTATAACTACTCATATTAAGTGCAAATTGTAGTCTGTATAAAATAAACTACTAGATTTTAAGAATAATTATTTAGTCAACCATTTATTTTATATAATAGGCTTGGCCAACAAGTATATAACGTGTGTAGTTGACCAAATAAACGACCTTGTTCACCAAGCTATGAAACTAATTACAATTGAAAACATTGAATTCATTTTTGTTTCAATTCATCAGTATTTAAAGGTGCACATTACCAAACAAAAATTTCATTCTCATTCAGAATTTCAGCTCACATAACCAAAAAACAAAATGAAGAGAGAGGGTAGGCAACATGGTATGGTCCGAACCTATATCAAGCCCGGAAACCTAAACGGGCCCAGCTCAGCCCCAATTGCGGGCCAGTTCAGTAAAGTGTCAACCAAGCCAACGAACCACTCCAAGTTCACCGGCAAGTGCGCTCGGCCAATGTGCCGTCAATGCCACATCACACCGGCTCGTAAGTCCATGGACAAGGTGAAGGGGACTCAAAAGCTTCGTTCGTGGTCCGATTACAGATCCAACACTTGGACGGTCGTTGGTGGTGATGAACCCGGTTCGAAATACTCGTCTGGGTTTTCAGCGACGGGTCTTGTGGACTACTATTTGGGTAGCGACGACGACTTTCTATGTGAAGATGATTGATAAATGATATTGATTTGTATGAAGAGTCGCGATTCATTGAGATTGAAGCTATTGGTGCCGATTAAAATCGAAGGACTAAAACTATTATGATGATCATCAGGAATTCGTTTAGCAATTGGAGGATGGAGATGGAGATGAATATTATGGTGCTTTATATATATATATATATGTATTTTCCATTGAAGAGATGTCAACTTTATTTGTTCAAGTGCTAATTTCATATTGTTTTTATAAGCTAATGTTTTGTATAATTTATCATTTTTCATTATAATAATAAAAATAACACGTCAAGGTTATATATATGAGCGTACAAAATACTAAAATGAAAAAAAAAGGAATATATGTTTTGACATTAAATGCAAACAAACAATATAATAAAGACATGCAAATTTAGAGAGTATCTTTTGCAAAGAACTGATACTCGATTTCTCCCAAACCGCATTGGAACACTCGCGAAGAATGATTTGTTGTAAGCATCTGGATGGCCAATTCAGGACCCGGAACTCGTACCGGGTTCCTTACAACCCAAACCCGGCATCATTGAGAATCGTTCCTCACATCATCTTCTTCGCCAGCGGTTTTTACTTAAGAATTAATTCAGCTCTGAGCATCCATTTTAACTGTGTCGGAGGAACTATTTACTGCTATAAAAATTCAGGAAAAAAAAACAACTAGAGAATTCGTTAATGGCGTCGTGGAATTCAGTTAATCTGAAGGTGATTTACAATGTTTTGGGATGGATAGCTTTTGTGTGTTGGTCCATCAGTTTTCACCCGCAAGTTGTATTGAATTTCAGGAGGAAAAGGTTATTTTTCACACACTTTAATTTCTTCATTTCATTTTAGGGTTTTTGATTTGAATTGGATTGAATTGAATTGAATTATGGGGGGATGCAGTGTGGTGGGGCTGAATTTCGACTATGCAGTGTTGGGGTTTGTGAAGCAATTGGCTTATCTGGTTTACAATTCTTCACTTTTGTTTAGCCCTACTGTGCAGAACCAATATCACATCAAATATGGTTCTAATCAGGTCTTCATTATTCTACTCTGTTCTTCATTCACCTTCAATTCCACATTTATGCATTATTGTTTGGTTCAATTAGTATATAAGTTTGAAGAGTACTCAAAAATTTATCATTTTTGGGCGGTGAATATTGCAGATGTTGCCTGTTGCTCCAAATGATTTGGCTTTCTCCATACATGCTGTTTTATTGTCTGGTTTTACACTCTTCCAGATCGGAATTTACCACGTTAGTCTCTCTCTCTCTCTCTCTCACACACACACACACACACACACACACACACACACACACACAATTCCGCTAATCGGGGTTTTTTCGATTGGTTGACAGCGTGGAGGCCAGAAATTGTCGAAAACATCAATCTGCTTCGTGAGTATAGCAATGTTAGGAGCTGCAGTATGTGTGTTGATAGCTATACCAAAACATTCATGGTTTTGGCTAGTCTCCTGCTTCAAGTAACCATTTTTCTTCTTTCAATAATGACTACGGAAGCGTTTCCTTCATACTTACTTCAGACTGATGAAGTTGCTTCTAAAATCTTGAATCCTTGTAATTGCAGCACAATTCAGGTCATTATGACAGTCACCATGTACTTTCCTCAGGTACGTACGTACGTTCGTTCGCAGATGATCATTAGTTCTACCAAGATTTTCCAAGTCGAAATTTATTTAAATATAGGCCCTCCTCAACTTCAAACGGAAAACCACGAGCGGGTTTAGCGTTGGGAACATTTTACTCGATTTTCTTGGAGGAATAACTAGTGCTATTCAGATGGTGATGCAATCTATAGATCAGAGTGAGTGTTTCTAATATTTGTTTTAACCAAATATTACTAGGATTTTTCGCTAAAATATGAAAGTCAATTCTGTTTTCACAGATTCGTTGGAGAATTTATTCGGAAACATAGGGAAGACTTTGTTAGCTTTGGTATGCATTGGGCTTTTCCTTTAGAAAAAAAAGTCCTTAAATCTGGTTCTTCACTGATATTGAATTATAATCTAAAAGTGGCTAATGCTGCATTGGGCTTGGTGGTTTGATATTGTTGCGCAGGTGACTATATTTTTCGACATTGTTTTGCTGATTCAGCATTATTTGCTATATCCCTCCAAGAAGATAGCTCCTCCTAATTCTACTGTGGTAAGCTGCACAACCCCACTAGCCTATATTTAAATTTTCATTAAGGTAAATAATTATAGACTGTATTAATGCAGGTAAATGTGGAGCTAACTAAAGAAATTAACCAGTGCTGATGCCTTGTTACCTCTCCCAATTTTCTACTCTTGTATATTTTTGTTGTAATTTTTTATTTAATTTTTTTTTTGTAAACTATTTATGAAACTTAGTAGGCTCAGCTCAGCCCAGAGCGCGGCCCAGTTCGGTAATTTCATGATCTATATTTGCAATTTCTAGCTTTGAAATTGGGTTACGTTCAGGATCTAGTTACAGTGTGGTAATTTTCCGGGGTTCGGTACTAGAATATTTTAATGGTGCAAAAGGGGATCACTATTTCAAATCCCAACTTTTGCTTACTTGAATACCAAAAAAATAAAAAATAAATAATTAATTGTAAATTACTTTAATACCCTTAATGAAATTAAAACTAAAAAAATATTACAAATACTATTTTTCTTTCTTAAATACCAAATAATCAAAAACTCAAAAAACCATTTCCCTCCTTCTCCACCTCCTTCTTCTCCCTCCCCAAAAACCCTTCTAAAAAATCTTCCTCACAACAAACCCTTCTAAAAAATCTCACAACAAACCCTTCTAAAAAATATCAAAACTAAAGAAATTAAAACCTCACAAAACGTATAAAATTGAGTTATAAGACAATAATATGGTAGTATATATGAAAGGAGAACACATTAAGGTAAGTATCGATGTCTTTTTTGAGCTTCGAAGTTGATTTTGAAGTTTTTTTTTTTGAAACCCGTCGGAAATTTTCGATAACATCATGACTATTTTTTAATTAATTCTTAACCC